GCAGATGCTTTGCCCTGTGCTCCATTGAACTAACTGTTATCATCCATTCTCTTTTTCTGGGTGTTTGCTCCTCCTCTTATTAAGCTRCTCCTCAGGTACCAGGGCTGTTGACATGGAGGGAGGGACATCTGGCCTGAGGATGCAAGGCAATAGGAGCCAGTACTGGTATCTGTTGTGTAATTTGGGAACTTTTGAAATTGTTTAAATTAGACAAAAAATATGGACAGGGTGTGACTCTGATTTTGAGGAGTGTTGTGTCACGGCCCCACTTCTGGCCTGCATGGGTGGTTCCCATTGGATGCAGAGGTGGGTCTTGAGTAATTGGAGCCATCTGTGGCTCAGTATTTAACAGGACTTAACTACATTTATCTTTCTCTGCTTCTCCAGGTAAATCTGTTTGTCTTTGGTTCCAGTTTGGGTTTTTGTTGCAGTCACTCAGATCCACACATACATGCTCACTCATCCATACACTAAATATAATTACAGCTTTATATTTCATCGTTATTATATTTGAGTTTGGTTTCAGTTTATGATAAAACTTTCTTTTCTTTTCTGTTTCTCCCCGTCATGAGCTAGCCTGAGACAATGAACTAGTATGAAAAGTTGTGTTTTGTATTTCCTGATACAGCTTCTTTCATTTTTCACGTGTAATGGATTAAAAATGCTATTTAATAACCTTCATATGGAAACAGACATCCCCTCTATGTTTTTTTTTTTTTTGTTGTTGTTGAAATACTATGTAATTTATAGTTATGGTCACTAAGTACATCCACACAAGCAGAGGGCACTGGGCACTACAGTGCCACAGTGGCTATAGCGGATAGCCAATGTGTTGTCCCTTTATAGAGGGACAACACAGAATCTCACAAGTCAAATGAATTATGTCCTAATAGCAACATGCCTCTCTTGTCTTGTACACATGTATGTTATGAAAGATATTTAGCAACTTAAGTTTGGTTTTAATAAAGTTAAAGCAAGTGGGAACAAATTTAAAAATTCTGTAGACAAATGGTGACAATTTTCAGTTGGTCTAATGATGAGGTATTTGTATATCTTTATATTGTACA